ACAACTGGCCAAAGGGTGCCCACAGGGAGCACCAAGTGAGCTCTGCCTAGTGCCTGGCCTGACTCAGCCCTTGCTGTGCTCCAGATTTGGGTCGGTCTTCCCCGGCCTAAATAGCCTGGGAGAAGTAGAGTCCCAGGACTGCTGCCTTTAGTTACTGAGACCAATATTTTAGGGCAAGCCAAGCTCAGTCGCGGGTGTGTGTCATGGAGGACATTTAGTGCTGAAGGCAGTTATTGGGGGAGAGCAAACAGGGGCCTGGCCCCAAGGGGACAAGGGGGAACAGAGGCCTGCAAGACAGGAGTATGAACTGAGCAGCAAGAGTGTGGCCCCCCTTGACCATCTTAGCAGTTTCTAGTAGGGACACCACTAGCTCCCCAGTTTGCAGAGAGGGGAAATGAGACATCTTGAAGGTCACACAGGTTGAGATGAGAGAACCCACAGGGCCGTCTGAGCTGGGTGGTGGCTGGGCCAGACTTTCACATGGCCACGAAGCAAAAGCCAGGCATATCTGAGTGAAATGGCCTCGGTGTTCTCATTTTTATTTTTCTCTTTACATTTCTTTTTGGTTTTCAGCACTAGGTATTGAATCCAGGGCTTTCAGAATGTGCTACATTCCCATCCCTTGTCATTTTTTGAGACAGGGTCTCCCTAAGTCATTAAATTCTGCACACTGGGCTTGAATTTATGATTCTCCTGCTTCAGCCTCCTGACTACTGGGACTATAGGTGTGACCAACATGCTCAGCTATGTTTCTCCTAATGTAAATCAGAGGACACCTGTCCTCTGCTCAGTCCCTGGAAGGCTCCCTTACATCTGGAGATCAACCAGCCTCCCGGCCTTCAACCAGCCTGTGTGACCCATCCTCAGACTCTTCCTCTTTAGGGCCACCAATCCCCTCCACCTCAGGAGCTTCCCAATTCAGAGTTAAATAATTTAATTAATCCACCAACCTGAGTCGCTTAATCACAACTAAGCTTAGTTTAAATTAATTAATTCTAATTTAATTTGATGTTTCTCCGCAGGGAATGATAATGAATCAAAGGTGAGAAATACTGTTTTGAGCATATGTAAGTCTGCACCTGCCAAGTCTAAGACCATCACTGAGGCTGCTGAGCGTATGCTCAGGACTAGAGTGCTGCCTGGTACATAGTGGGCATTGCATAGAACAAACTAGACAAGACTGAAACACTGAGCTCTTGTCTGGTCTTTGCCCATCGTGCCATGGGCAATAGGGAGCCATAGACAACTGGGGAGCTGGAGAAAGGAAGAACTTCTTAGGTACACAGAACAGTTCTATTCCCAACCAGACACTGCAGCTGCTGAAACCTCCCCAAAGCCTCCCCCAAGCCCATATCCCCCACAAGGCTGGCAGAACAGAAATAGGAGAGAGAGAGCTGCCCACGGCTTCTGCAATGCCAGAGGAGGTGGCTGCAGTGGCAGGTGGCCCACTTGGAATGGAGCAGAACTTCATCCAGAGACAGGATACCTGGTTTCGGGGTTTTTGCTGGACCCGGTCACCCTTGGTTGGCCTGGGGCAAGGCAAGAACCCTACTAAACCTTTGTAACCACAGGAGAACCCAGCTGCATTGGGCAGGAGACACTTGAGCTCCGCTAAACTCGGTACAGCCGGTGTATATATATATATAGACCCTCCCACCTGGCTCGCGAAGAATTCAAAGCAACTTTCACAAGAGGTGGCAAAATGAACATTTAGCATGCCAGAGTTTACACATGAGGGCTTGCATCGTAGGCCTTGGGAAACAAGATAAGAGGGACCAAGAACATGAATCTCAGGTCCCTCCTGGAAGCTCTGGTGGGAGTGAATTCTCCATGGAGTGGCAACCAGGTCTTAGTGGGGGCATGGCTGGGAGGGATGCGTCCATCCGAGGGAGCTTTGCCAGATGCTCTCAGATCCTTGCTGAGAGGTAAGGGAACCTTGCCCACCAGGGAGCCAGGGAAGCAGCTTGAGGTAAAATGGTTGAGGCAGCTCTTCCTGGCCCTCCGCTGGGCCAGTAACCCACATGGGTTTAAAAGTCGAGGGCAGAGGAATGTTGTTTTGGGACTGCAGTGCTTAATTCCTCAACAGCCAGGTGAACAGCAAGACCTCTTTGAGACCTTACCCTCAGGAGCAGAGCTGGGGAGCCAGTGTGCAGAGGATGCCAGTGCAGACATTCATCTCCCCGCTGCCCTGCCGCCCCCATACTCCCCCTCCCTGGAATGCAGAGCCCCACCCAGTGCCCTGAGGGCTGCCTGGCTCTTGGCCAGCCTGCCTGGCTCTGCCTAGCCCAAACCCTGGCACAGTTCTGGCAGCGTCTGTGGAAGGAAGCTACCCCCTGGCTCCTGGGTTCAGACTGGGCCCTGGGGTATAACTTCTTGATGCCTGTTCTGTTTCCTCCGTCACTGTCCTGAGCAAGATGGCCCCCTCCCAGTGCAGTCCCCTCTCAGAAGCAGAGAATGGACAAAAATGCAGATGTAAGAAGAAATTGGGGCAAAGATAAAGGCAGAGAGGCTTCTCTGAGGACGGCACCTGGGAAGAAGCACTTCTCCAGAGAGTGCTCTGGGAAGAGAGGGCAGCTAGTGCAAAGGTCCTGGAGCACACCAATGCTTGGGGTATTTAAGCCTATATGACTGAAGACTGGGGGGAGGGCTATGTTGTGGGACACTATAAGGCACTGGGAGAGTTTGACTGAGGGAAGAAGCTCTGAGAAGAAGCTGACATTCACAGAGGAGGCTACCTGCCCGGGCTTCCAGAAAGGAATTCGCAAAGTCTCTCTCAGAGGCAGCCCCCTCCTGACTAGCCCTGTCTACTGCTTCATGTACAGGTTCTATGACTGTCTTCGAAACAGAAAAATCCACATGCTTCTGTCATGGCAGCCCAGAAACACATTTGGGCTGGGAGGGACTCCTGTCCAGGCCCCGATGCCTGATGAGAAACAGATTCCTGGGCCAAAGCCTCCCACCCCAGGGCCTGAAAGCCTGTCTCTTCAGGCTAGGAGCACAGAGAGGGAAACAAACCCTCGCCAAGGTCATGGGTTGTATAAACTGTCAAGGACCCACACCTGTGCTTTATAAATGTCACTGTGATCTGCACACCAGCTTTCCCATGGCCATTCCCAGATGCCTTTTGTAAAACCTGAAGCATCCCATAAGTGGTAAACCAAAAACAGCTGATGTCCACAGTAAGACATAGAGGAATATAAACTATGAAGTGATGCCTAATTTGGCCAGGACTTAGCAAACTGTTAACTACTTTGTAAACTTGAAAGTGCTTTGAAGCCCCATTTGCAGGGTGTCTGTAAACTGTAAATTACTTTGCAAGCCCCATTTGGTAGGCTGCCAAGCGCTTTGTAAACTGTAGATTTCTCTGGAAGCTGTAGTGACCTGACGGCTGTGGAGAGCCTGTGCGCCAGGCCTGCAGTCCTACCACCTTCCATCAGCACCTGAGCCGAGCTCTGTGCAGGGTGGTGGTGTGGAGTGCAGACAGGTCAGGTGCTAATCTGCTCAGGGGGCTCAGCCCAGGAGGATTCAGGTCCACTCAAAGTCCCCACCACTCCAGAACCAAGGTGCTCAGAAGCTGGGCGGGGCTCTGAGGCACGAGGTCAAAGTCAGGGCTCTGCCGCCTCCTGGTGGCTTTGGGTAAGGCAACTGCGGCCACGCCCCTAGAGTCAGTCCACGGAAGTCCTGAAAGAGGGCAGAGGGATGCGCGCATGAGCACAGGCACACTCACTCACTTGCACCTGCTCATGGACCAGTCTGCCCTAATCTCACACACAAGGTTGTGGGAGTTCTTCCTCATTCATGTATTCATTATTCATTCGGTAAAGGTGGAGCCTGCATTAGGGGCTGGCAGTCTTTTCGCTAGGGACACATGGGACAGGTCAAATCTGTCCAGGATGAACGGAGCCAGGTGGGCACCCCTAGTTAGGGAGGTCGTAGAAGGTCTGAGGTGACATGGAGCTAGCCAAGGAAAAATGGAGAGGTTCAGGGAGTACAAAGGTCCCACAGTGAAAACCAGCCTCCACAGCCCACAGAGGGAGACAAACAAAAGCTCTTTGAAACCCCTATGTGCCATACCCAGGAGGGGTGAATGGGTAGAGGCTGTCTCAGACTAAGAACTAGCAATGGGACAGTGGTGGATGGAGGCAGACGACAGCCCCCTGGAGTCCTGGGGCCATGTGGAACAGAGCTCTCACAGCTTGAGATATGGCAGGCAGACTTTCCCACCCTGTAAGTACCTCTCCTAGCCTGACTTGCTTGGGGTGAGCATGCAACCACCTCAACAGGAACCATCCCTGGAACTTGGGTAGAGGTCTGAATCTGATCTGAGGAGAGGGGTGGGTGTCTCTTGTCTTGTCCCCAGGGTAAAACCAACACTGAATGATGTTAAGTCCTCAGGATGGCAACCAAGCTCTGCATTCCTGCTTACACAAGCAAGTTCCCTTCTGCTTAAGTCTGATGGAGAAGGGTTTGTGGTCCAGCCCACACTGTAGGATCACAGAGCCGGGCCGGACCCTAACAAGGGGGCCTTCAATGAGCTGCCCTCACAGCTTCTCCAGGGCGCTGCTCCCTGTCCTTGAGCCTCAGTTTCTCCATTTTGTGGCCATGTGGCTTTGGCAAGTTACTTTGGCTCTCTGGTCATGTCCGTCATGAGGAAGACTACAGCACCATCAATGGGGTGCACGTGCATCCTGGGCACAGCTCTTGTGGTGTGCCCATCACTCTATGTTGCTGGCTGCCATCAATCACTCTGTGATGATGGTGAGATGGGGGCCCCACCAGGGGACTGGGCCTGTGTGTGTTTACTGCTCCGTCCAGTGTCTAGCAAGATGCCTACTCACAGCCCTCCAGGAGCCTCTGTGTCCTCATGGAGAAGGGCCTGTCATGTGCAGGCCCTGGGGGACCAGCTGACCAGCTCCTCAGTCACACCACCCTCCAGCTGTCCCGGAAGCCCACTTTTCTGAGGAGTGGGATTCACTACTGTCACACAGTCTCATGCAACCTTTGTCCCACTTTTTTTTTTTTTTAATTAAAACAGCAACAAGGTATCTGTCCCACTGGGAAAAAGACCAAGATTGGCAGGCCTGTCTACAAACAATTTTTTTTAAAAAATAACACCAAAGCAAATCCACATCCCCCATGAAGCTGGTCACTCTCAAAAGAGTGAGGGAACAGCTCCCAGTCACACTCTGAGCAGAGACCTGAGGTCGGCCTCTGGAAGCCAGTTTGGGCAGAGGGATAGGTCTCCCCCTGCTGGTATCCCAGGAAGTGGAAGAAAAGTGATGGGCTCCAAACCATGCAAGAAAAAAACAGCCAACCCTAGAAAGCAAAAGAAAAAGTCAACAGAGGATAAATTAAAAAAAAAAAAAAAAGGTGAGCAGACACCCTTAGAGGTGACTGGTGCACCCCTTGGAGGTCCTGTCTGCCGTGCTAAGATGAAGGCCTCAGAGGCTCAAGGCATCTCCCTTGTGGGAGTCTTGCAGGGATTCACACTGCTCATCCCCTTACTGTGTCCTCCACACTGAGGCCAGGATAAAGGTGTGGCCACCCTAGTCCAGAATGTGCAAAGTCCATTGAGTTGAGATATAAAAAATATACAACTTGGTGACATCCGAGCTGGGCTGAGGCAGCGACCTTGACCACTTGGGCACTGGCTGCTTCTCTGCAAGAGGAAGCAGCATCCGGCAGAAGCATCCAGGTCTCTCCAAATCCAGGGTCTGGGGTAGAGACTGAAGGTCCTTGGAGCAGTGGGGTCAGAGGCACTAATGAGTCCCACACGGGCCCAGCCAGGAGCTCCTGAAGGTCTGGTTCTTTGGCACTTGGGGCAAATGGCTAGTTGCAGAGCCAAGTGAGAGGAGCCCCCTCAATTCCTCCCGGAACACCCAGGGCCAGGATGGCAGTAGCTTATGACTGTGGGCATGCACTGCCCCAACAGAGAGAGCTTTGGGGTTCTGGAGGGCCAAAGTAGGGTTCCAAACCAGCCCCCTATGAGTCCTCTCCCAGGATCTCCTTCACAAAGGCAGCAATGTCCGTCTTCTTGGTTTTGTGCAAAGTAAAGAAAGGGTGCTCCTGGCAGGGACAGAAGGCACAGTCACTGTGTGAGACAAGGGGGAGACACCCCTCCCCCAAGCCACCCCAGCTCTTACATGCTCCTGCTGCGTGGCAAACTCCTCCTTACCTTCCTAGAATCCCAGCATCCCATGACTGTCAGGGCACTGTGGTTCCTCCTTGGACTCCTGTGGCTGCTCTCCAGCCACACTACACTAAACTTGCTTTCCTCACATGGCCAGGCCTCTGCCCTCACTGGGCCCTGTGCTTGAACACTCTCTACACCCTTCTCTCTATGGGCAAAGACTGCTATTCATTCTTCCAGACTCGGCTCAAAAGGCCCTTCCTCCAGGAAGCCTTCCCTGACGCCACCATGGTCCCTCTGCCCTGCCACATCACCTGTGCACCTTCACAAGGGTGGTAAGTGACCAAGAACTGACATGCATGAGCACAGGACCAGGAAAGGGCTGACCCCTGTGCACAGTGAATACCACCAGCAGCTGCCCAGCCCCAAAGAATTGCAGAGTCCACACCTTCTCACGCACACTCACCATCAGCTCCAGGTAATTCATGCGCTCTGCAGGGTTCTTTCTTAGGCTAGGAGAAAACAGGACAGGCTGATGACACTGGCATGGAGCAGGTAAGCCCAGCAACCTGGACTCTCCATCCAGCAGTAGGGCCTGTGTGCTCCTGGGGCTCAGGAAATGAGGGGTTGGACCACCTGGGGACCTCTCTAGATAGAATGGGGATCCACACATGCAAACTTATGGCAAGTTCCTCCCACCTTTAAGGGTCTTAGTGTTTTCCTGCTCACACAGTGATACAAAGAATTTCCCTGACAAGAACCCATGCTCTGCCTAACTATCACATATTTGGTATCCTTAATCAGAGAGGAGACACCTAGTCACTGGTCTTGGGACAGCAAAGTCCCCAACTAAAAGAGGTCAACCAGACCAATGACTTTTGTCTGCTGGGCTCAAAATGTTTTCAGCTTTTTCTGTTTTCTAGTAGAAGAAATAAAAGCTATGAATTTTCCTCCAAGTATCTCTTTGCCCACAACACAAAACATACATGTTTAAAAACAACACATAATGTTGCTCTGCACATCTTATTTCCTTTGTATCCTAAACATGGTATTTATACAACTTCTATGGATGTGTTCCCTAATGTAATACAAAATTCTAGATATCAATAAAAGCAAAATTGTTTATGCACTTGGTATCTTCCATATGCTTTCGTTTCTTTTCCTATCTATTGGATCCACTGTTTTCTAAAAGGACTGCACTAAAACCTCCCCTAAGGACCATAGTTTGGTCAGATTTTCCTTATGCTATATTTCTGCCTTCCACACTTGGATACCGGGGTTGTTGTGAGGCAGGCTATTTGCTACAAGAAAAATGTTGTGGTCCAGGAAGAGCCAGCAACTCACCACTGGGCAGTGAAGTCCACAAACTCGGGGGAGAAACGGTCTGCTGGGAGCTGAGGGGATGGTTCCTCCACCACCTGCTTCAGCTGCTGGAACGGGGTCCCCCAGGACTCGTAAGGAAACCGTAGAATAGCCATCTCAATCTGTAATGGGGAGAGTGGGGACAGCAGGCTCAGGCCCAAGATGAAATCACACTATGAACCAGAAACAGGGGCTGGAAGTACTGGCCTATCCCGGCCCAGCACCCAGAGTCAGACAATAATGCAGCCCACGGAGCACATCATAACCTCCCTTGCACATCACAGCAGACCAGGCATGAAAGCCAGGGGCTTTCACCCTGGATTTGTCACCCCTGACCCAACTGGAAGAACCCACTCATAGGGCACACCCAACCATCAGTCTTTCAGATCGTTTGAATGTGTAACATTTTACCTAATAAGCCAGATTCTACCTCCATGCCTGAAAACTGATCTGAAAACTTTAGGGAGCTGACAGCTCTGGTCACCTTGCTGTTAAGGATCAGACAAGTCTCAGATCTGTGGTTCCCAAAAGCCACTGCCTTCCCTAATGTCCTCCCATTACAGACTTGACTGTCTACTGTCCTTTATTCAGTCTACTTGAAATGACTGTCATTCAAGTCTCTTGTCAGGCAGTGGTGAAGAAGCGTGACATTATGAGGCCTGCATCTGACTGGCTCCCTCTGTTCTGCCCTGGACCCACCAGCATGGGAGTCTGTGCCTCCTTCTCTGTAGCCCCCTCCCCACACCTCACAGTGCATCTTCCTCCTTCTCAGCTCCACACTCTTGCTTTGACCTCCTCCTGGATAAGTGGCTGGCATGGTCTCACCCTCCTGCTGAGACAGGGCCCCCCCCATCCCACCCTTCACAGGCCATGTCAAGTCAACTGGTCTCTATACCCACTCAGTTCTGGCCCTATCATTATCTGAAGTGGGCCACATCACTGTGGAATAGACTGGCCAGGCTACAGCAAATCTGGTTCCCAGCCTGGCTACTGGGATGAAAACACAGGTCAGGATAGCCCAGGCCCCTGTCTGGTAGAACACAAGGCCCCTCAGTGACAGGCTGTAATCACTGTGTGGAACAGAAGAGACCTCGGCTCAGATAAATGTGTCTGTTAGCAACTGGTGCCCAAATAAGCACTGATTAGTGCGCTGGAAAGGGCCTGCCCATCTGGCTATGGGCCCTTTTCCAGCCAAGGCATAAACATGCCCTTGGCAGCAAGTGACCCACACAAGCCACTGGCAGTGAATGTCACCCTGTGTGCATGCCGGTGTGCAGAGGATGAAGTCCTGCAGACTCAGGGCACTGTCCCTTATAATGTCCACTGATTCCAATGTGCAAACATGAGGCCCCTCTATGAGTGGCCAGGGAAAGATCAGGTAGAATTTATAATCAGAAAACCAGAAAAGTCTTGATCTTATAATTCCTTTTTTGGTAATTTTTTTCAAATGAGAAAAACTTTAAAATTGCTTCTGGGCACAAAGATGCAGGGTACAGTGTCACCTTTCAGAAGAAACATTTAGAAGCAGCCTCAGTGTCCAACACCAAGGGCCAGGCTCCCCACAAGCAGCAGGCTCAGGGAAGGTGGCAGCAGTCAGACCCATGAGGCCTCTAGTGACACCAACCTGGCCAGTGCTCGGCCACTGCATGTTATAGGCCAACAGCCTTCCCAAGTGTGACCTGACTGCTAGGGAATCCCCTGATGTCCTGCAATATGTGCAAGCTCCCAGGACCAGTGCCCACCTGCAAGAACATGCCACTCTGCCTTGTCAGTCACCCCAGGAAAAGTAAAGCAACCCTCAGTACAGTCAAGTAAATGGCTGTAAAGTCTTTTAAGGAGATGCTGACAAGGTTTATAGCTTAGAGGAATCCGAACCATGCATAACACTAAGTGGAAAAAACAAACTTCTTTTACAAAGAAGCAACAGCAGGAAACTCACACTATCGGCAGTTAGCAAAAGGGAGAAAGAGAGTCTCTAAAGAAAACTTGCCCCTACTTTTCCCGTTTTAAAATAGGGTCTAGCTTCTGTTCTATATTAGGGTTCTATTCCACTTCCTCTCTTTTATACCAGGATCCCATTGCATTTGCTCTGTGCTTTATACTCGGGCTCTGATTCACTTCCCTTGTTTTACACTGAGGTTCTACTCCACTTGCAACTTCTGGAGAGAACCTTTCCTATACTGGGTGGCTGGTCTCCTCGAGAGCTGCTGGTTCTCCAGACGTGGAGAGCCTTCTCCCCTTGAACCTGGGTAAGCTTCAGTGCTGGGCCAATGCAAGGAAGCAGAAGCAAAACTCAGCCCATGCCAAGCCGACCTCTGAATAGAGTTCCCAGCTGGGAGCAGGCTGCCATGAAAGCATTTGAGCCACGCTAACATGGCCTCCTAACAAGGGGGCCGATGTGAGGAAGCCACGGGGAGGCTGCTCAGAGGAGCCCACGCTTATAAGGCCTTTGGAGGAGCTTCCAGTCCAGCAACACCAGATGCAGCAGGAAGATCAGCAACCAGAGCTGACACCTCCCATCCAAACTGGCACCTTCCTAGAGGCCTGGAAACTGGAAGCATCATAAAAAGCCTCCAGGAGCCTGTAGGCTGGCGAACAGACAGAAGCACTGACTAGGTACCTCCAACTACCACCACTCTTCCCCGACTACTCATGAACTGCATCCTTTAGAGCACAGGAGTAAGCAGTGAGATTGTCCCTGATTTCTGTGAGTTGTTCTGGCAAGCGATCACATCTAAGAATCCCCAATTTATAAGCAGTGAGTCAGCAATACAGCTGCTCTGAGGTGCAGGGCTGGAAGTGAAGTAGGGTATCTGGCCAGGCTGAACCCTCGGCTAAGGGTCCTAACGCAACTGTTGGAGGACAGGGCCAGAGTTGGGCTGGGGGGTACCCTGCTAGGGGCCCAGAGAACCCAAAAGTACGCCAATCCCTTCTTACCACAAATCTGATTCTGCCTGATAACTCCTGCCCTCAACACCAACAGGCAAGGGGACTGAGGCAGGGGAGACCCTAGGCCAGGCTCTCTGGGCCAGGGAAGGTGCGTTAGTTCCAGAAGCTGGGATGGGGAAGGGGAACTAAAGACCACTGCAGTCAGCTGAGTCAACTGGACTAACCTCGAAGGCAGGCAGCCATGCTGCTGCAACATGGTTCCCCACAGCCTTTCCTCAGGTACACTGAGACTGGTGAGGAAACATCCTAATCGCTCTCCTGTCCCTGCAATCTGTCCTCCACATAGCTGTCACAGTGTCAAGTGAGAACGTGACTTTACCCAAGTGAAGGCTGGGATTCTACCAGGCAGCTCTAGAAAAGCAAGGGCCACTCCTCCACCTGGAGCTCAGAGGTGTCACAGCCACCCATTTCAGGGTCCCCCTTAGCGTCACAGGCCCAGGGGTGAAAAGCCTCACCTGCCCAAGGAAATGAATCAGATGCTCACAAGAAACACAATTTCTTCTGGGAAAAATACCTGTCAAGATTTTCTATCTTGCTTCAGGAATTATTTGCATAGGAACAGCTCAATTTTGGCTGTGATTTCTCAACATGCACCAACAAGCCAGAGGCTGATGTCACAGACCTCTCATGATACCTAAACCAAGGCATCACCATATGCTCGCAGACATTCCCTGACACACAAAGAAATTTCTGACAGCACATTTTCACCTTAGATTTTTGAAGCCAACAATTTTTCTAAAACCTAAAATATTTTCCAGTCTCCATAAGGCCATGACCTAGGCACAGCACCACCCAGCCCCACCTAACCAGCAAGGACCTAGCCCCAGGGAGTACCATGGTGATGCCGAGACTCCAGACATCAGACTTGACGTTGTAGCCCTTCTGGTTCAGCTCTGGGTTGATTCTTTCTGGCTGCAAGACAGACAGATCAGTAGGGCATAAGCTTCTTCCACACCAAAACTGAGTGCACACCATGTTCTGCCTGCCCATGTATCTACCTACCATGTTCTACCTACCTGTTGTATCTGCCCATGAAATAGAAGAAGAAACTGAGGCCAGTGAAGGCCAGGGCCCAACTCTTCCCTATGGCCAACACCTGGCCTCTCAGTGCCTAAGGAACCCTATATCCAAATGGGGTGTTCTGAGGCACAAGTAACAGTGATGCAGGGCTCCTCTGTGCAGAGAACATAGTGGCAGAGGCCCTGTCCCAACCCCAGTGGTAGAGTTCTCCCAGCACAGCCAGACATGCACCACTCACAGCCATGTAGGGCTTGCAGCCAGCATCCATCGTCTTAGCCACAGAGTCCACCAGGTAGCCGCTGATGCCAAAGTCGCACATCTTCACGTGGCCCTCCCTGTTGATCAGCACGTTGGATGGCTTCACATCTATAGGGTAGAACAGCCTTTCTCAGCCGAGTTCTGTAGCCTGCCTAGAGCAGCGTCACATTCCAGCTGTTGCAGCCCTTCCCAGGCCCAAGACCCCATGGAGTGATACTACCAGGGCTCAAAGATCCCAAAAGGCAACTGAGGTAGTAAGGCGTGCCACGCCAGACCCTGGCCACACAGCTGGGAGACAAAGCCAGGACATGCCTCCCCAGCCTCTACCACAGAGAGGAAAACGTGGCTGTGAACGCATCACTTAGGGAGTCACCTATGCCCATGCTTCCCATTCTGGACACAAGATTCAGGCAGCACAAGGTGACAGGTATGCAGCAGAGTCAGCTATTGCATGGGGACAGGGTCAATGCACAACAGAATAGGTGACCAATACAGAAGGGAACCAACAGGCAAATGCACACACGACACAGGCATTCCATATGTCTCTGTGAAGACCTACGTGCAGAAATTGTGCAAAAAAAAAGAAGAAGTTTCCATGCCAAAGTGCAGACCACTGTGACCTAGGGACAGGGACTTGGATGGACATCAACACATTAATGGCAGCTCAGCCTTCATTTTTAAAAAAGTAGTAAATTAAGCGAGGCATGGTGGCACATGCCCATGATCACAGCACTCTGCACAGCTGAGGCAGGAAGACTGCAAGTTCAAGTCCAACCGAGGCAACTTACTGAGACTCTGTCTCAAAATTAAAAATTAAAAAAATCAGAAAAGACTGGGGGATGTAGCACAGAGTGGAAAGCCCTGGGTTCAATCCCCAGTATTACTGAAAAAAAAAAAAAAAGTCTGTTTGCCTGGAGCTCAGCAGCAGAATCAACTAAAAGAACCCGTTTGAGTCCAACACCATGAAGTCCATGAGAGTCCAAGATCAGCACAAACCAAGTCCCATGGGCACAGGACAGCAGATAGAAGGGGGACCCAGAAAGGGCTAGGCGCACATGCATCTTGGCAGAGATGGATCCACAGCTATGAACAAAAATTGGACTCAGGGTGGCATGCATGGTACTGGGCTTTCACATATGTCAACTGTCTATCAAGGCAAGAACGAGCTGGGTATGGTGGTGCACAGCCTATAATTCCAGGAGGCTAAAGCAGGAGGGTTGTCAGTTCGAGACCAGCCTGGGTACAAAGCGAGCTCAAAGCCAGCCTGAACTGCATAGAGAGACTCTGTCTCAGAAAGACAAAAAGAAAGGAAAGAATAGTCAGCCATGTCCAGGACACAGGTGCATCCAGTATGCACTCCACGCACCAACAAATCAGAGCAGATCTGGGCAAAGAGCCAGGCTGGAGCACATTAGGCACCTGGTGTACTCCTCCCTCAGCCTTGGTCTGCCCAGCCCCATGCGGCCGGCAGAGTAGGAGTACTGACCTCTGTGGATCACAGACAGCTTGCTGTGCAGGTGCTCCAGGGCACGCACGATCTGCATAGGGATAGGAAAGAGAGGAAAGATGGGGCTGATATTACTGTAGATGGCATCAACAGTGACAAAGCTTTGCAGCCCACCCCTCCACACACCCCAGCATGTGTCCCTGGCATCTCGGTCATCTTGGGCATACTCACTGGCCTCTTGCCTCTCCTTTCACTCCCAAGTCTCACAGGACTTGCAGATGACTCCTACACATCCCAGGCTACCCTGCCAGAAGGCATCACCATGGCCCACTGGGCTCCCTGATCCTCTGCCTGCTTCAGCAGAGCAATCTCCTTGAGGCCCTGGCAGTGAAAGCCTGTGGCATGGGATGTTTTAAGGTTTTCAGAGGTAGTTAGAATTGAGAACCACGGGTAGCCACAATTGCATTTCCCTTTCCGTTTGGATGCAAGGATGTCTGTGCAAGCCTGGAGTTGCTGTCTTCATCTAGAAACCTTTAGACTCAAAAAGCAAATTTTTTTCCCATCTCAGGTGGCATCTCTGTGGACTGCCTCACAGCACCCTTAGTATGAGGCACTGAAAATACTAAATCTTTTTTCAAAGAACGGTTCCAAATGAGAGATGCACTGGAAGGCCTAGAGGCAGGGACTTGTCAAATCTGTGTACTCTAGGAGCACTGGGCCCTGGGTCTCCTTATTAAGGAGGCATTTGTCTTATGGGGAGGAGATGGTCCTCTAGGAGTAGCTGCTTTGCTTAAGTCAATCCTCCCAGGCGAGTCTGGGCCTCTGGCTGTGCCCTGGAAATGCCCACCTACCGGCCCAGCCACTTACAGACACAGCGATTTCCCCCAGAATGTCCTCTGGAATTGTCATGTTTTTCTCCAGCACCTTCCGGTAGAACTTGTCTAGGGATGTGTCCATGAGCTCCATGCAGATCCATACATCCCCCTGCAGACGATACCCAGCCCTCAGCCAGGCTTGCAGGCCCAGTGTTACTACAGGACAGCCCCACTGCCACCGTTAGAACAAGACAGTGCCCACCCACCCAGCATTTCCTACCCGGCCTCCTGCCTTCTCCCATCTGCATGGCCCTCACTACCTGGCACACCCAACCTGCCCGGCCCACTTAACCTGCTCTGCCCCACCTGGTCCTTGTCACTACTCTGCCAGCTCCTGTACTGGCCTCCGGGCTCTACCACCTTCGTTTCCCTTAATTCCACGGCACAGCCAGCCAGGCTGTCCCCCGGGCCAGCTCTGCCCTGGCAGATGGTTCCCCCTCCTGCAGTAACCTGCTCTCTTCCTGGTACACCCCCACACATCCAGGACATCGAAGGTTGGCAGCACCCAGACCTGGCCTCCCCACCAGCTTGGGCCTGGTTCACAAGGGTGCTCAGCCTACCAGGTGAGAGGAGGCTTGGACTCTTCAGGTCTCAGAGAATGAGGGAGGGTGGATGCCAACCGGGGACCACCCAACAGCTCTGTGAAGATGGTTAAGTCTCAACTGCAAGCCATGCTGGCCATCCTGACTTGTCCCCTCCTCACCCCAGGCCAGCATGTCACATCACCTGCCACAGCTCCAGGGTGACAGCCCCATCCTTCCACTCCCCAGGTACTGCACCCAGCCTCACCTTCAACTCCTCTGTCCCCTTAATGCCCAGTCCTTCCTGGAACCCTAGCATCCAACTCAGAACCTTCATGGTTGCTCCCTGTCTGGGGCCCATCCCCAGCCCTCCTGGGTGCTGCTGCCAGGAGGCAGATGGTCACACAAACTGCAGCAGTCACTGAATACCAGGCCCACAATACGTCATTTCACCTCCATGTGACATGAAGAAAGCATACACAATCACAGCCTCATTTTACAGACAAAGAAAATGAGGCATGTGGCAGGGCAAGGCAGGGTAGGAAGAGCTTGGAAGCAGAGGTGCCAGACAGCCTGGCCCCGGACCTGTGCTCTCTGCAAGTAAGCAGGGAGGTGCTATGTTTGGTGCCTCTACGACATGCAAGTCTTCAGCATCCGGCACACAGGAGGGACAGAATAACAGGGGCTGCTGGTCCCTGCCTGCCCCACACTCCACTGTAGAGAACCCTCCAAGAAGGTGACAGGAGCCCCTCTTATTCCTCAAACCTCTCTAAAGAGGGCCCCGTAGAAGGTGACAGTGTAGAAGCAGTCGACTGTGCGCATGTTGACGTCCAGGTCCATGAGTAGACGCTTCTGTTCCTGGGAGTTCACAGTGGCCCGGATCCGCTGCAGGGAAGGGTGAAGCTCAGCGGGGGTGGGCAGGCAAAGCACCCTCACCCTGATGTGGAAGCTGGGGGAAACATGGCCCAGCCTTCCTTGAAAGGCTCTTCCCCATCTCTCTTCACAGAAAGGGACAAAGCCACATTGCAAGAGGTTGCCTTGTAGGCTCAACCCTGGGCCTCCTCCGGGCAGCCTTTCTAGTTACCTCCTGGCAGGGAAGGGCTGGAGCAGGCTGGGCAAAGCTTACCTTCACAGCCATGATTGTGCCACTCTGGGCATGTCGAACCTTCTCTACTACCCCATAAGCTCCACGGCCCAGCTCTGAGATGGTCACTAGGTCATCAGCCTCCACCTCGAAGTTCTTAGGGGGCAAAAAAGAGAGAACTTAGAAGGCTCTGAGTCAAGAGTTGGCCCTTATCCCTCATCCAGTGGATAGAACAGAGAACAAGTTAATCAGGTCTGAATTTGAACCCTGTACCAGCCTCTCCCTACTGTACAACCTTGGGAAAGTTACACTCTAAAGTTCATACTGTCCTCTATAAAAAAGATGCAAAGAAAAAAATTCAATAAAAAAATAAGATGCAGCACCAATCCCCAAGGGGCCCATAAGAAGCATCCCACCCTGGTGGAAGGAATCATCTGTTTGATTACTATCTACTGAGCACTTACTGTATGTAAGCCCATCTCAGGCACTAGGGACTCAGAAAGAAAACAAAGGTCTGGCCCCATAAGGGCTTCCTTCCACTGGAAGAGCTACATATGGGCAACAAGCAAATAGATGAACAGTACATTGGGCACAGAAGTGTCAGTGAGGTGTGACTAGCCAAGGAGAGGCCTCAGGGATGCACCAGGAAGCCCCAGCATGCCCTCAGGGTCATAGGGTCCCTGAGTCAGGCTCTCTGCACCTAGTACCCTCCCAAGCATCATGCACAATGCAGACTTCAGGCATAGGCTAGGTCTGATTCCACAGCTCTAGTAGCCCACAAGCCTGCATGATCAACACACTATTCAGATGACACAGGTGTCAGAGACTCTGAGATACCCAAGGCCCCTGGAAGCAGGTTTGTTACCCCCCTCTAGGGCCATAGCCTCCAAGGTGAGGGCAAGCTCTTTTCTAGAGCTCAGACTGTCCACCACCACAGCCACCTCCCAATGGTCCCTTGTCAGATGAAGTGGGAGGCCCCACCCAGTGCCGCTGGTACCTACTCGGTCTCCAATGGTGATGAAAGTCCGGGAGTCCAGGTTCCGGGGCGGTCTGTGGAGAAAGCATACCCCATGAGCCTCAGAGAGAACTGCTACTCTAACCGACGGAAGGACTAGGGGGCAAGAAGAGTCTTGGGAGCTGTCCTGGGGCCACCTCATTTCATCAGTTGCCACCAGTGTGGCCTTAAATAGAGTCTCCAAGGTGAGGATTTAGGGGAGAGAGCAAACAGGTAATAACTGCTAGTATCCATGGCCACCCACCTAGTCCAACACTACTCAGCACAGGGCAAGGGGCAAGGAGCCAGCCCCCACCCAAATGGTTGCTCTCTCCACTAAGACCCTTCAGAAAGCCTCTTCTGTCTGAGCTGGAGTAAGAAACCGAGGCAGACTCACGTGGGGTTGAGCGCAGGGGTCTTGTACACACAGGTTATCCGTAAATCCCTCTTCCTCTTGGGTTTTCCTAAAATGGAAAAAAGGGAAGATGTCCAATCAATCCCTCCGTTCATCTATGTCGCCTGGATGGGATAAAACAGAGGACAGAGATCACTCAGGCCTCTCTGTCACGTGGGCCCCTGATGATGAGTACAAAGAGAGGAGTTCAGATGTCCAGCAAGTAAGCCCTCCTGGCTGGGGCATCAGGGCAAGGAGGGCCAAGGGCTGGACACCTACGGTCCCGGTGGCCAGCGAGGAAAGAGAGGGCACACCTACCTGCCTCCCAGAGGCCATGCTACAACTGAGTCATCATTACTAGTGCACCTATTGCCATGGTATGCCTTGCCCCGGGGCTGGACTAAGTAGGGGTGACCAGGCCATTCTGCAGCAGACATGAGGATGGACATGGAAATCGGGCACCCACAGGCCACATGCTTGCACAGAGCAGGGCCAGCTCCAAGTGCTGGGGTTTGCCAGCACTCCTGACCCTGCAGAAGGTCTGTGTGTCTCAGAAATTCTTTCTTAATCCCCAGGACCTCAAAATGTGACCTTATTTGGAGATGAGGTCTTTACAGAGGTAATTAAATTAAATGAGGTCACTAGGGTAGGCCCTAATCCAGTATGACTGGTGTCCTTATAAAACAGGAAATTGGGACAGAGACAGGCAGAGAGGGAGGACAAAGTGAAGAGCCACAGGCAGAGATGGCCACCTACAAGCCAAAGACAGGCCTGGATGGGCTCGGCCCACATCTCACCTCAGACTTCTAGCCTCTAGACTGCGGGAAGCCACAGAGTCTGCAGGCTTCACTACGGCAGGCCTCAGACTCACAAGGAGCCCACAGCCACATACCAGAGCCCAGACTGTCCCTCAATGGCCCCTTTTGGACGGTGTCTGAGACAGACCCAGTTCCATTCAGGCTTGAGGTACACTGCCCATCCCTTGTAAGTCTCAGTCTCCCAGTGTGTCACTCCAGAACACAGAGGCCTGCCTCATGTGGCTGGAGACTTGGGGTAGCTGCAGGCCAGGAGCCTCTGGCCAAGGCCACACCTGGGGCCAGCACCCACACATGGGCCTGGGAGTCCCCACCTTTCTCAGCCTCAGCTTCCCGTCTATGTAGTAGGGGCACTGACACCACTGGAAACCATGGCAATGGTCACACACATGTGAGGAGCAAGCCACTGTCCCCAGCCCACATGCCTTCTAGGATACCCACATGCCTGGTATCCATGAAGTGAGGAGATAAGACAAAGTGAACTCCAACCCAGCAACTCCCTGTGGTCAGGGCCAGATCTTGCCAGGCTGCCCTCCAGAGCGAGCTCCAATAGGACCTGATTGCCCCAGAGGCAAAAGCCAGCGCCCCCCTCACTCCCAACACCATCAAACTGTCACCTCTGCTGCCTTCTGCATGGTACCAACAGGCCTAGGTCTCATATCCATACTTCAGGCTTCTGAGGGGGAGGTCAGGTGCCCAGTACTGACTGGCGCTCAAGAGAATGTGTACCTAACAAGTGCAGAGCACAGCTGGGCTGGCACTCTCTGACAAAGGCACAGTGCCATCAAGAATGGAAAAGGCAGGATGAAAGAAGGCAAGAGCCTGTTACATGTCCCCAGATTAACTCTCCTGAGGCATCTGCCCAAGGCACCAAGCACTACCGGGCCACAAAGCTAAGACTCAAACACAGCTCCATGAAGCCACTCAAGGCTGTAATATGCCAGCCCCACACATGCCGTTTGCAAAGGACTCCTGCCACCTACACAGCTCACCCTGTGCACCACCATCACCATATCACTGATGCCAGCCACTCCAGCTGCCGGCCACTCAGAGCCTAGGGACCACCTGACAGGGTCCCTATCTCTGGAGCCACCTGTGAACCAGAATGGGACCCACCCTCAACCCTGTTACAACAGCCTCAGAGCTGTGTTCATGAGCCAGGCAGGCAGGCAGTTCACTGGGCTACTGAGCATGCAGACCTGGAGGCCTAACAGACGGGCCAGGTGGGGCCCACAATACCCTCCTGCAGAGAGCACTTGTGTGGTGGAGGGACAGGCCTGGGACCTCACGCTGAACAGGAAGGCAGGAAGCTAGCCTGAGGACCCAGCAGCTCTCAGGACTCCCCAGGGCTGAGACATTCTACAGAGCTGAGATAAGAGAAAAGCCATAATGTGCAGAGCTGTCAGCTCCTGAGGCCCATCTGCTTGCCTCTGGGTCACAGTCACCAGTGCTCCAGGAGATCATGTCAGGGACTTTGGTCAAGAGTCGCACTGCAATTGGAGTAAGGCAGCCACAGGGAATCTCTGTACCCAGCTCTGAAACCAGGCGGGGCTGCCCCTGGCACTGGGATCCCTATCTGCAAGAAGAGCTAGGCAGAAATGCACCCACCCGCCCCACCTGAAGGCCAGAAGACTGGGCAAGTGCACAAGAGGTGACCCTATTAATGGTCCGTGAAGGATCACCATGATTACCACTGGAAGAAAGTCCACCCTAGCGAGAATATAGGTAGTTTTTATTAACTTTATTTACCCAAACTATAAAATACCCTGTGATAAAAAGTGAAACTCTTCTGGAGCCTCAGACCCATGCCCTTGACACTTACAGACCTGGCCTCCTCTGAGGAGTTTCCAGCTGAACCCCCATCTCAGGCTGCCTCTGGCTCTAGCCTGCCACCCACCTTACACTGCAGAGTCAGGGAGGCTGCAAGATGTCCCCTTGCCAGGACTCAGTTTCCCCACCTGTCAAGGGCATGACCCTGTCTACAGCAAGGCTGGGTGCTAAGGCCACCCCTCCTCCAAGGCTGGGCAGCATACAGCCTGGCCTTGCCACCTGTTCCGCAGGGACACCAGCCTGCGTCAGGAGTGACCTGGGCTCTGTGGGACATCCACACCAGCTGTCATAGGCAGTGGGTGAGGTCACCACGGAGACTGCCCAGAAACAAGCCTCAGGCCACCACTACCATGATTATCAACGTCAGGGCTGGGCCCAGATGGCCAGACAGCCTGGGGCTACCCAGGTGCAGCCTGAGGTGGTGACCGTAGTCACAACAAACACAGGCTCTCGGGCCACCACTGGCAAAGCCCTACAGGCCTGCCAGCGTCATCTCACGGAGTCCCTGTGCACACGAGCCCAGTGCCAGGTCTGTATCCTCAGGCCACGCGGGTCCCACAGCACCTCCCAACACGGAGTGAGGAAACAGGCCGAGAAGAACTCGCAGCTGACCTGAGGCCACACCCAGCCTCAGATCAAGCTCCATCTTTATCTCCTCTCTCCAGACCCTCATTCGAGCCTGCTCCACTGTTGCCCTCACCACTCCTCAAATGAGTCTTCTTCTTCAGCACCAAACTTGCCTTGCACGTGCCAGGCACATGCAGGGGTCACCATGAGCCACATCCCTAACCCTTTCTTTCACTTTTATTTCGAGATAGGATCTCACTAAGTTACCCAGGCTGGCTCGGACTTGCAATCCTCCTACTTCAGCCTCCAAGTAGCTGGAATTACAAGCATGCAGCATGGCTTAAATGAGCCACCTCAATGCCTTCGCACATGCCATTCCCTCTGCCCAGAATGCCCTGCCCAGAAACTCTATACCAAGTGGGCCATAACCTTGCCAGCCACCTATTCAGAGAGGCTCCCTGACCACTGCAGCAAAGTTCCCCTGCTACTAACTCTCCCTGAATCCTACTGGCCTCTCTCCTGCCACTTCTCACCAGTCACCATTCTGTAGCTGTATCTCAGAGAAGCTGCTCAGGAGCCAAGCAGCCTGGGTTCAACTATGACTCTGCCACTGCCTAGTGTGTGAACCTCTCTGGGCATCAGGGTTTGATATAGTGATACAGATGGACCTTCAGGGTTGTCAGTGCCTGTGCCTCAGCAATGCCTGACTTGAGAAGATTAGATAAGAGATGCCCAGAAGCCCACAGCTGAGACTGCACTAACCTCTGCCCCAGGAGGCCTCTGCAGCTCCATGAGGGAAAGGTTTGCAATGGTCTGCAGTGTTGAGTGGGTTCGAGGAGAGACACATGGTGGCAGTCACAAGGTGGGTGTGCAGTGGATTATGGATATGAAGGCTGATCTGACATCCCACTGTCAGCAGAGACAGCCATGGAGCAAGATGCTCTTAGAGGAGCCGCACGCCAATCCCACACAGCCCATCTCAAGGTTCATATGACCAAAGCAACACCTGCTCACCAACCTGTAGATATTTTGGGTCTTTCTCACAGGTTCTGATTCTGGGAGAAACATCCATGCCTTTGACACACACACATGCTCTCTCTCTCAGGTGCCTTCAGAGAGATTCCCAAAGATCCAAGCATACACAAGAATCAAGCAGAGACCTGGAAAGGGCCCTGTCCTGGGGCTTTGGAAAGGACACCTAGGCCACAGGAAGGAGAAAGGGTTCCTTCATCTAGCAGTTACTATCCACCACATGGGCCCTACCCCATCCAGCCTCATGGGGACCCCCTGCACCAGCACCACCTGTCCTTCCTCTCCACAGGTGAGCGACAAGCCAAGGCCAAAGGAGAATGGCATGAAGCTTCTGAACCTGGCCATGTCCTCCCCGCCTAGCATATGGCCGCCTGGCCAGGTCTGCCTCTGAGCCCTGGGTACCTCTGGATCTTGCAATGTCGAGGGGCTTGCTTCCCTGCTAGGGCTTCCACATTATCCCCCCTCAGGCCCATGCTCCTTCTCCACAGCCAGCAGGCAATGTGGCTAGCCTCTGGGGTCAGTCCTAAGCCAGGTGCTGCGGTGGTGTCTGAGACACTTCTGACTGTCACATCTTGGGCGGAGTAAGGGACAGGTATCTGGCAGGCAGAGGCCAGGGTGCTGTTCAACAAGTTCCAGCACACACAAGCAGAGCAGTGGTCCTTCAGCCAGAATGACCACATCGAGGGCAGGAGCACCAACAATACCCAGGATGCAGAGGCGAGAGAGAGATGTGGGGAAGAGACAGAACAGCAGGGGCAAAGAAGGGCAGGAGCTGGGTGGGTAAGCAGCAGGCAGACCCAGCACAGGGGCCTGGACGCTAAGGATT